TGCTTACTCTTGCTTCATCAATCTTCTCCCTGTCTACGAGATTTTATATACATATTTGTTTGTTTACATATACTCTGTCTCCGTCTGCTATCCTGTTAGCTCTATGAACAAACTCTCTTTTGGTTTACTGCTGTATCTTTGTGCCGGAAATGGTATCTGGCACATAGTAGATGCTCAACAAATGTGTTTAAAGAAATGACTCAGACCTCAGTAACACTTTGTTGAACAAGATAAATAAACGTCTCTTCTATTGGTTGGGCACTAAAACCAGCTGGGAATCATAGAAATAAGGAAGAGAATTCCCTCTTCATGGACTTTTCATTCTAGTGGAAGAGTCAAATATGTAAACAATGAACTACTACCTAGGATAAAACTAAGTAGGTACCAAGAAGAAAAACAGCACCCAGCTCTCATAACATTGACTGAGTGCTTGAATGTGCCAGGCTGGGGTGTTCTCCAACAGCTCCTGAGAATCCTACAATTTAATTCGATTTTGACACTGACTCCTCAGAGTTACACAGACCCCACAGGGTACAGGCTCGGTGCCACAAGCCTGCCCCCACTTCCGACACTGGCTGCAAGTCCCCGGCCACCTGCACTTGTGGCAGACCGGCTATACATTAGGGGTGTTCATGAGCCCCTCTTAAGTTTCTATAATTTACTAGAATGGCTCCCAGACTCAGGAAAACACTTTACCTACACTTGCTAGTTTATTTTTAAGATGGAACTCAGGAACCTAGCCAAATGGAAACGATGAACATGAATAGGGCAAGCCACAGGGAGAGGAGCTGGAGCTGCCACAACCTCGCCAACTGGGTCACCTCCCAGCACCTTGATGTGGGCACCAATCCAGAAGCTCTCTGAGTCTCATTGTTCCAACGTGTTTATAGACCTCAAACTCCAGTACCCGCCACCCAACTCCACAATGTGTTTCCAGTGGGTGGCACTGAAAGTTCCATCCCGCTAACCAGTTGGTCCTTCGTGTGACCAGCCACATCCTAGCATAAACTTGGGTTTGCTCAGAGATGCCTTATGAACAACAGAAGACACACTTATCACTTGGGAAATGCCAAGGGTTTAGGAGCTCTGGGGTCAGGAACCAGGATACAGACCAAATCTGTTTTTGTATCATACCACACAGACATCATTTACATGTAGTTGACTTCATCATCATCATCATCATCATCCTCGGAAGTCAATACTATTTTTATCCCCCATTTCTCAGATGAGGAAACTGAGGCTCAGCAAATTAAATGACTAGCCCAAAGTCACATGATCAGTAAAATGGAGAGCTAGAGTTTGAATCCAGCTTCGGAAGCCATGCTCTTCGCTACTGTGCTCCAAGCATGGAAGGTATTCCATCACCTGGGAACTTGTGAGCAGATTCACTGAAAGGGTGAGTCAGCTTTTAATAGAGACAGAGATTATGACCCTTTCCTGTGGCAGTGTCTTATATGTGGTCTAATCTGAGCCCAAAGGGAAGTACTTGCAGGCCCAAATATTTACCTGGGAGGCTTCCCACAATTCTTACTCATTCCTCTGGTTGAGACATGAGGATTTCTCTGTCATGAGCACCCTGTGTGGCTGCCCCAACAGGACAGGTGCTTAGCACAGTCCCCGGCACAGGAGGTACAGGACAGGAAAGAAAGCAGAGAGCTTAGAGGGCCTCCCAGGAGAGCCATCCTGGGAGGGAGAGAGGTGGGAGAGTGGGAGTGGTGGTCACAGGCCCTGTGGCCCCCTCATCTGTCTAAACTAAAGGAGCCCCATCACATTGGCGTTATCAATTCAATTATGGACCATTACCTCATCCCCTGCTGTCCTGGGTCTGTGTTAGGGTCTTCCTCTGAGAGGCAACAAGGCTCCGAGGGAGTTAGAAAACATAAGAACTAACAGGGGTCACCAGGGGTCACCGGGGCTGGCTGGGAGGAGCAGCACCTGGGGCCTGAGTCGTTAGCGCTGCTGCCTCTACTCACCTTCTACACTTTCCCGCAGACTTCCTACCCCTTGCTTTCTGAGACCGGCATACTGAGGCTCCTTCGAAAGCATCGCCTTCCTCCACTCTGTTAGAAGAATAAGGGCAGGGGGCTAGTTCCAACACCAGCCATGGTTTGGACGCAGGGATCTTAGAGGTTTGGCTCAGAGAAGGCCAGGCAATCAAAATGAGAAAACCTGAAGTGGAAACGAAACTCTGGGTGAAATTGTTGAAAGCCCTTCTCCATCCTAGAAATTATAGAGTAGGACGATTAAAAATGTAGACGCTGGAGCCCAGAGACCTGTATTCAAATTCTAGCTCCATTACTCCCCAGCTGTGTTTCCATGGGACTTCACCCCCCAGTTCCCTGCCTGTTAAAACAGTCATCCCCACCCTGCTGTGAGGACTATATGAGCTAAGTCTTGTAAAAGGCAGTCCACAAGTGCCTGCTCCATAAGAAGCACTCAGGAAGTAGATTTTAGCTTTCCTGAAGCTCAGGTACTTCCGTGACAGCTCTGGGAGCTACCAGCATCTTGGAGGGAGAGGACACTGACACTTTGACCCCATATTCCACTCTCAGCTGCTCCTAAGTTGGGGGTGGGGGTGGGGTATCTGGTCTATAGTCTGGTAAGAGGCCCCAGTCACTCCTTTGCAAGGGAGAAGGAATCAGCATTGAAGTTGCAGGAAAGAAAGAGGGTGGCTGGCAGCTAGCACCCACAGAGGCCTTTGAGAGGGTCACAGTGGATGTGAGGCCCCAGACCCTATAGGGAATAATCATGGCGTAGTAGAGTCCATGCCCTAGACTGGACCAAAACTTTTGGTAAGCCCCCTCCGTCTTGCTTCAGTAGGGTTAATTCAGCCTGTCTCTGTTATCATGGGACTTAGCCCTACTCCATTGAAGAGTTTATCACACACTATCAGGGTGTATTTAATTGCTGAGATCCCTAGGCCAATTTCCTGAGGCTAGGAACTAAATTGGACTGTCCATATTCTAGCTCAAAGAAACGTCGGACAGAAAGATTTTCATTCCACCCCGCACCTCTGAAGACAGATTAGCAGGAAGCTTCATATGGAAAAGCCTTGAGTGGCTCAGCGAAATGAACAGACAGGGAACCGGTGAGTTCCCACCCCTGGCTCTTTACTGCTTAGTGACTCGGCTTCCTCATGAAGACTGTAAAGTGGGAAAGTAACTCCTGCCTATTCGCCTCCCTGCGTGGGTACAGAAGCCAGAAGCAATGGCCAACAGGACCGAACAGCATTGTGTAAATGTCTCCACCCAGCACCTCATTCCTTCCTACCTGTGGGGAGGCACCTTCTTCTTTCATATCACTGGACTCAATACAGCCTCAGAGAGTGGGTGTCACAGGGCAGTTCCTTTCCAGACTTTTGAGTGTCTTGATTAAACAAAAAGAAATGACACAAGAGCTGTGGCACCCAGACCCAGGCCTGGCCTCTTCTTCCCGGTGAGTCTTGTTCTCAGGGAATGGGAGGATTGGAGGGCTGACCCTGCCAGTGGGCGGAGGCTCCTTGCGACCCTGCCTGAGGAATGCAGCCTCCCGCCTGCCGCCTGCAGAGGCTCCTGCTGGGGAGCCATTCCCCTCGCTCTACCTCCATTTGCAACCACTATTTATTTATCTTTGGAAGTCAAGCAACCAGAGCCTGCAGCCAGGAGAGACTTGTGGAGCCAGAGAGGGAAAGTGAAGAAGCCAGTGTCTGGGCCGGGCGTCTGGACCGTCGGACAAGGCAGAGGAGCCGCTTCCCTGCAGAGGGGGTGGGAGACTCAGCTGAAAGGCCACCATCCTGGAAAACGTGCCCACACACCAGGAGCTCCAAGAACACAGAAAGAAGGCGACTGTCCTTTGTACCGTTTTGGTGCTACAGTGAAGGGTGTGGGACGGGAGTGCTGCCCAGGAATCTCCTGACCCAGACAGCCTGCCCCTTAGCAGCAAAGGCTCTATTAAGTGGCAGAAAAGGCAGCCTTTGTGGGGAAACTGAGGAAACAGACACACTGGGCCACCCTTCTCTTTTCCCTCTGCCCCAACCGGTTTCCCAGCTTGCATGACAGTCTGTCTAAGACCGTCAGGCAATTTTCATCCTATCCCTTGCTGTCAAGGTCAGACCCTGCCCCAAACCACCTGCCCTCTCCCTATGGAAAACCCTTGCACCCTCCCCGTCATTCTCATGCCATCGCTTACATTCACAGACAGGGGGCAGGCAGGGCCCATTCTGACCCCAGAGATCAAATTCCCCAGATTGTTAGGGGCTGTGTGCAGAGCCAGACAGAGCTGTCTAGAAAGGGGTCCCGTGGCTCACAGCTCCGAGCTCTTTCTGTATCCTCCACCTGGGCACACATCCCTGCTTTTCCTCCTCTAGGCTCTCATTCCCACTGCCCCCCCCAAACACACACACACACACACGGATGTGGAAAAGGTAAGAGGCCAGATCTAGCCAGTCGCCTTGGCCTTTGACCCCTTCTTGGCCGAAAGACATGCACTCCCCACCGGGCGAGGTCAGTGTCAGTGGAGGAGGGTCTGAGCCTCCGTAGACTCCAGCTTGTGTCCCGCAGTGGCTGGAGCAGGGCTGAGAGCGAGGGCCGCTTCCACACTGGCCCATCGGGTCAGGGGCCAGGGGCCAAAGACAGCCGAGCCTCAGCGACCTCAGAGTGGTTAGCGAAGTTCAGTCCCGAACAGGGGCACCAGACATCTCTGGCCAAGCCTGCACGTCAATCAACTCCCCAGAAGTGTGGGCCACAGGCCGAAGCAGCGAGCAGGGAGAGTTTTGTGAAAATGTGCTGGCGGCTGGCTTCGAGGTCGGGGATGGTTGGTGGAGAGGAAGAGTCGCGGCTCGGAGAGGGGCGGGAAGGAGAAGGAGCCTGGCTTCGGGAGGGCGCAGGGCTCCCGCGGGCCGGACGCGGGCTTGCCCACTTTCGCTCCGAGGCGGGCAGCGGCCTGGCTGCGCATCGGGAGGCGCTAGGGCCTCGCGGACGAAGGAGCGGCGAGGGGAGGGCGCCTCTCGGGGGGGCGGGCGGGGGCTGGCGGCGGCGAGAGCGGCGCCGCGCCGAGCTGCCTCCATCCATGGCCCGGAGCGGCGGCGGCGGCAGGAGCCCGGCGTGGTCCTCTAGGTCCCAGCCCAGCGCCGAGCGAGCGGGCGACGAGGAGGGGCGCCGGCGAGGAAGCGCCGCGCGGAGACTAGGGCCGCGCGACCGGGGGCCGCCTGTCCCGCGCTGACAGCCGCGCCCGCGTCCTCCCCGCCGGGGCGCGCGCCGGACATGCCCCCGGGGCGCGGCAGCGGGGACCCCGGGGCTTGCCTCCGCCCAGGGCCCCCCGCCCCGCCCTCGGGCGCCCCCGGCCCCCGCTGAGCACGCCTCCCGCACGCCCCGTCCCTGCCGCGGGCGGGCGCGCAGACGGGCCCCGGCGCTGTCGGCCCCCGCCGGGCGATGGGCTGATGGGCGCCGCGGGACGCAGGATGCGGGGGGCGCCCGCGCGCCTGCTGCCGCTGCTGCCGTGGCTTCTGCTCCTGACGCCCGAAACCCGGGGCGCGCCCGGCTGCCCCGTCCCCATTCGCAGCTGCAAGTGCTCGGGGGAGCGGTCCAAGGGGCTCAGCGGCGGCGCTCCCAACCCGGGGCGCAGGAGGGTGGTGTGCGGCGGCGGGGACCTCCCGGAGCCTCCCGAGCCTGGCCTTCTGCCTAACGGCACCGTTACCCTGTGAGTACCCCACCCTGCCGCGCCGGCCTGAGTCCCGACGAGGGGACGGATGGAGACCAGACGGGAGGGGCGGGAATAAGGGGGCCGGGACATGCTGCTACTTCAGAGACTCTAGGGCAGGCCTGAGTCCAGGCGCTGAGAATGGAGGCTTGGGGAAGTAGGGGGATAATTAGGGCTCCAGGGGTGTGGAGGGAGGAAGGGGTTTTGGGGGGCGGATGCGCACCACGGGGAGGCACAGCAGGCGCCCACTCACCTACACAGGTGGTGGGGAGTGCGCGCTGGCGTGACGCCCACGCCCTTCGAGTTTCCAGCCTTGGCTGATGTTGAGGACTTGGGGGACCCGAGGTGGGTGGGTTGGGGGAAGGCTAAGGAGAGACCGACACCCGGGGCCCAGTGGGTGGCCATGGTGGTTACTGCCACGGACGCGTCCCTGGCCCGACTGGAGGAGGTTCCCGGTGCACCCGGCGGGTCTGGCTTCTCCAGTGGAGGGCGCCCCATTCGCCTACGGAAGCGGCCAGCCCCGCCGCCAGCCAGGCTCCGTAGGGCAGGCGGGAGGGTGGCCTCGGAAATCTTCCCTTGGGATGCCTGCGCTTCTGATCTGAGTGAGACCCGAGGGTCGCGGTCCCTCCCGGGCCCCTCTCCTGCCGCCCACTTCTGGAAAGTTGGCTGTGCGCTTGGTCCCGCGTCCCTCCCTCTTCCGTCTCTCCCCTGGATATAACGGGAGTTTGGCTGTTTCTCGATTGAGTTTTTGGCGCAAAGACTGCGAAGAAAGAGACGTAGCTGCGGAGAACGCAGCTGTCTCCCAGCCTCCTTCCGTCATACCGCTTCCTCTCCCGACCAGGGCCTTACTTTGCTGGTTATAAGCGCGGCTCTTTGCGTCGCAGCCCGACCCCAAGCCTCCCCGATGGGCGTCTACAGTCCCTGCCACCCCAAGAATCATTGCGACCCCTTCCCAGGGTGGCAATTTCCTGCGCTGACCACGTGCTCGAAGCTCCACTTAGGAGGCCGTGGAGTGGAGGGTCCAGCCTTCCTTTCCTGCTCTGGATCCGGCCTACCAGCCGCTTCCCCTTCCCTGCCCTCCTGACCCCAGTGGCAACCGTTTCCCCACTGCCCCTTGCCCGGAGTTGGGGCTGGCTCACAGTCCATCTGATTGTGTCCAGAACAATACAGTAACGCCTCTGGTTGGGTGAGTTCAGAGGCTGCCTGCTTCCTGACAGGACACGACTGGTCAGCCTCTGACGTTGGCTGCCTGGCCTACATTTTCCCCAGCTGGGGTGTGCGTGTGTATGTGTGCATTAGGTGGGTGGAGGCAGTGTGTCTGCTGCCTCCCACGTCCCAGCAGCTCAGGGATATGGCCACAGCCTGGGAAGGCAGCTGTGGTTACTCGTTCCAGACCGACTCTGGTCCCCTGGAGTCGAAGGGTCCAGACAGGCCTGGGCATTCCCCAGCCCACTCAGTTCTGGAGGAGAGAAATGCTTGCAGTGTGGAACAGTTGGACCTGTGTCTGTGTGAGTCCCCCGGGCGATGATAATTCAGTTCCGAGAAGGGGTGTGTGCGTGCATATTCTCGTGGCTGTGCTCACACACATGTGGGACACTCCCTGTATTTCCATTTGTTGGGATGAAGGAATCCTAGCATACTGAAGGCAGAAAGAAGGGGGGAAACATTCAAAGGGAGCTTTGCAGGACCTCTTAGAATGATTTGGCAGACAGTGTGTTCCAGCCATGGCTAATTCCAATGGATGCCCTCCGAGGACAGAGCAGGGCCAACTCTTGGTGAAGATGTACTGTGACAGGGTGGCAGCAAACGCGACTTCAAGCTCACCTTCCCATCCCGAACCATCCCCGGAGGGAGGACCCCCTTTCTTCCAGGCCACTGACCTGGAGGGCTTAGGGTACCTCCCAAAGGAACAGCACCCCCAGCCTGGCTAGACATCCAGGCAGGACTGACCCAGGGAGTGTGACTGATTCCCATCCTCAGGCATATTTCTTCGGCTTTCACCCCAGGTTTCACATAACCCTGATTCTGATTGCTGCCCCCTGCCCCCCGCCCCCCACCCCACCCCAAGCTAGCTTCTAAAGGAAAAAGTACCCACGTTCTTCTTCAGCAGAAGCTAGGTGGGAATTCTCTCCAAGGCTCAGTCCCTCAGCACACCCAGCCCTACCCAACATGCATCTTAAGGGAAGAAGAAAGAGAAGGGCAAGGAGGGAGCTTCGGCAAGATGCTAAGAGAGCACAAACCTTCTCCACACCCTCCCAACTCCTCTCACAATTTTCTTCCCCACGCATACTTCCCCTATCACCTTTTGCCTGTCACCTGGTGCCAGCCAGACTTGAGCCCATTGGTTTTGCACTGTGGCTTCATCCTGCCTCCTCCTCCCATTCACGTCCAGATCCCCTTCACACACCGATATGCCTGCTCGCCAGGCCCTTAGGAGACTTGGGACTCCACCTTGGGACTGTTCAGGCAAAGAAAATGCTAGATAAGCTGTCAGTCTGCGAGAGGCCTCCTGTCTCTGGCTCAGATGCCTCAGAGCAGTTCTAAGGCAATTCTGTGAACAGCTCTGTTTACCTCCACTCTGTCCTGTTATCTCAACTTCTGCCTTCTGTTTTCGTGGACTCTGTGCCCCCTCTCCCCAACCTTTGCCTTTTCCCCCGCTAATGGATTTTCATGTGCAGCTTTTCAGGAAAGCAAGACTCTTGGTTTCCTTCCTGGCCCATCTGCCCACACCATCCCCCGTCTCCCAGTCCAGCTCTCAGGGCAGCCGTGGGCCTGTGCTCCTGGCTGAGCAGGAGGCCTCTGGAGCCTCCCCTGAGGGGAAAAGTCTTATTACAGGAAGAACCTGGGTGTGAGAGCGAGATGCAGACCACTGTGGACCCCCACCCACCCTGGGCAGTAGCTGCTGGGCCTGTCCTCTGGCTCTCAGCTCTGTTGTTAGTGAGGGGGAGGCGGGATCATAAGAATTTCAGGCAAGGACTGATAATAGAACTCTCCAGAAGGAAACTTCCTATGAGGACCCACCAGGACATCTGAGTCGCCCCTCAGAGGATCCCAGCCAGTGTCATAAATCCCCACAATGTCTGCGCTGAAAAGGGTCTTAGAGATCAGCAAGTCCAGGCCCCACGTCCACGTCACACAGCTGAGTTAAACAGGCCAGGAAGGGAGAGGGCCAGGGTCTTGCTAGTAGTGGTCACACAGTGAGTTGACGCCAGTGTCAGAATCAGCTGGTTGGGTTCTCAGCATTCCTCTCAGGTGAGGGACTCACCCTTCACCTGTCTACACTTGGGACCCAATGGACCCAAAGCTCCTCTTAAAAAACAGTTCCTTCCCAGCAAGACCCAGGCGCTTCTGACCGGGGGACGCTCTAAGGCTGGGGCACAGGGGGCAGACATGGCACAGGTCACTCCACATTCTCCCAGAGCCCACGAACCCCCATCTGCTTGGCCTCCCATTGGAGGGTGGGGGCTTTACCCACCACATAGGCTACCCACATAGGGGAGAAGGGGCATTTGCCACACAGCCGTGCCTAGTAATCACTGGGTCCTTTGGCCATGAGTTTGGTGGCCTCCTGGAGCACCGAGGAGGGATAGGAGGCCCTTTCTGTTCCCTGTGCTTGTTCCAGCCTCAGGGAAGAGGTCCTTGAGCCCATGTCCCCCTCTGAACCTCCAGCTCTGACTCCCCTCAGTGCCTCTCACCCCTGCCCCCAGGATCCAGTTAGAGGATTTGTTTGGACCCAGTGTACCAACCACCTACACAGGCATGAGGGGAGTGGAACGATGCTGGCTGGAGGGGCGGACCCACGGGGGCCTCCCACCCCCTTCCCTCCCTTCCACCCTTGTTCCCCCATATGGTTCTCATAAGGTCTGGGCTCAGAGACAGCAGCCAGAGGAAGTGGCTGTGTACAGAGAGCTTTTGTGAGGGAGCGGAGGGGGGAGGGGGAGAGAGCAAAGGGAAAGAAGGAAAAAAGGGGGGGCAGAGGTGGGGGGAAGCCCAGAGACCCCAGCACCCTCCCTTGCCCTGAGTATGGTGCCAGTCTCAGCAGCCGCAACCCTCTGTGGGCTCCCAGACCCCCACCTGTGCAAAGTGGGGGTCCAAAAGAAACCCAAGTCCCTCTCTGATTCTTCCCACCCATCTGGAGGAGCTGGAGGCATCCAGCCCCTTCCGGGAGGCCTTGGAAACCCCTGCTCTTAGGGCTCCCCCTTGGACAGGGGGTTAGGGTCCCATCTCAGGACAAGCTCTGGGCAGGCAACAGCCCTGTGGGGTTCACTGGGTGAGCCCTCATTGCACCAGAGAGATGGGAGAGGTCATCAAGCCGAGCTCCACAGAGCACCCCTGTGATTCGGCCTCGGTGGGTCCAGCACCCACATTGGGCTCTTTGGCCTGAATTACTCCCAGTTCACGTGTGGACCCAGCCACTCCTGATCTTGGCCCAAGGCAGTCGCTTCCTTCTATCTACCATGATCACCCCTCTGTTGTGGGGGCAGGGGCAACCTCTAGTCCTGGGGGCAGTCTGAGAATTGCCCCCAAAGGCACAGGGGAACCATTGTAATTTGAACCTAACCATAAATTGACCCTTAAATTTGGGGTCATGTTTTTAAAGAGACTGTTTCCAAGTTTATGCCACATGGGAGTCATTGCGGTAAGAATGCTTTCCTGAAAAAGTCCCAGACACCTCTGAATTGATCCCTGTCCTTCCATTTAGTGGGCTGTCCTCACCAAAGCCCAGAGAGGGCAGGGGAGTGCCCCGGTGCCACACAGCCTGAACCAGGACCCGTCACTCCCCGTCACTCCTGATCCGGAGACCACCCCTCGCCTCCCTGGGACCAGAGAGCAGAGGAGGGAAATGGCCCTGGGCTGGGGAGCCCAGAGGAAAATCCGGTGACTGCTAGGAAGGGGCTGCTCAGAGGGGCTGTTTATTTTCATTCCCCCAGCCCAGCCGCTCTGTTCTATTTAGAGCTCAGACACGACAGGACAAAGCTGCCTCCTCCCCTTCCTCCCTC